TACCTTACCGGGTGTCTGTTGTGGGGGGGGGAAGGGAGAGGAGTCTGTAAGCCGCTCTGAGACTCCTTCGGGTAGTGAAGGGCCATGGGGTATAAAAACCGACTCTTCTTCTTCCTCAGCATGGACATTACATGACAGACGCAGCGTAAAGTAGGACCAAGCAGCTCCCCTACCTGCCTGAGGCCTCCGGCCAGCCTCACAGATCACGAAACACCTTGACTTGAAACACCAAAGACCCCCCCGACACACACACACACACACACAGACTGTGGCCCTGGTGCCTCCCTAGTCCACTGGACGGCCACGCTGAGATCATGCTGGTTTGCTGCCTCTGGCTGGCTTCCTCTCCAACAGCACCCCTCCCCCCCCCAACAAATGGGAGAGACAGACTCCCCCCACCCACACTCCTGGGTGCCACTCTTCGTGAGAGGGCAAGAGAAATGGGACTCTGAGCTGGGACACGGGGTGGGGTGGGGAGTTTAGGGGCCTAACTCTTCCCCCAGAGAGCCCTTCTCTCCAAGTGATCTCCTCAAGGGCTTTGTAGAACCCCCTCCTTCCCAAATCCTTGCCTTCCAGCCTCCTCGTTTCCTTGCCCTGAAACCTGTGGAAAACCAACACAGCCCTGTTGCTTTCCCAGAAGAAAGCCTCTTCCTCCAGCCCTACAGGGCCCAGCCCTACAGAGTCCCTGGAGGTGGGGGATGATGAGTGACCCTGCGGCCCATCCGCCTCCCCCTCTTCGTATGGGGCTGGGTTTTCTCCCCTAGGGGTTCACGTAGCCACACCCCAGGGAGCCTCTGCCCGCCTTCTGGCCTCCACGGAAGCACCGCCGACCCCTGCCAACAACAGGGGGCCAGGAGCAATCTGGAGCGGCAACTGTTGGGCATCAGAAGATGTTTGTTGTGAGGGCGAAAGGATTTACCACAGTTTAAAGTTGCCCAGCCAACAACAGATTGCTAAATCTCAATAATAGAAAGACAGGAGATATCTGTCTGGATTATAGCGGGGAGATTATGGCAAAGCCAAATGACCGTGTATGTTTTGCTGGCAAACATGGAACAAACATAGTCTGAGGAGACGGATGACGAGGCAGAAGGCAGGGAAACCCACTGCGGGGGGGGGGGGGGGCTCCGTCCTGGGCGCATCTGCCTGGGTGCACGGGGGGGGGCGGGGGACCCCTCACAACGCGCACCAGACGCCATGGCCCGAATTAAGGCCGCCCTGTCGAGGGATGGGGGCTTAGCTGGAGTCCTAGAAAGCAGAGCGGGTGTGGTCGTCCGTGGGTCACGTTGTTTTCCTTGCCCAGGGTTTCCCACAAGAGGTGTTGACTGATTTGAGTTCACTGACCCTTCGAAAGGACACTTCGGGAAGCAGGCAATCGGTATTTCTCGAAAGATTAGCCGTGACAGATAAACACGTGAAGCTGCCCTGTACTGAATCAGGCCAGGGGTCCATCAAAGGAGGGGCTCAGGCGGAGGTCTTTCCCGTCACCCCCTGCCTGGTCCTTTTTAACTGGAGATGCTGCCGGGGACTGAACCTGGGACCTCCTGCCTGCCAAGCAGAGGCTCTGCCACTGAGCCACGCGGCCCCTCTCTCTTTCCTGGTTGGAGGCACTTGCTCACCCTGCGCAAGGTGTGTGGCCCACTGCCGTTTGGCACCTCTGGGGGATGAGGCCCTGGGTGCTGGTTGGTGTATTTAAAAGACTTCTGACTCATTTGGGGGCCATGATCCCCAGCATGGCGCTCGTGGGCACCGCTGCTGCCCCTCTGCTCCTTCCCCAGAGCAAACACCCAGTCCTGGCTTCCCTACACCACACCCTGGAGGAAACACGGGGAAAGAAGGGCTCGGAGATTCAGCGAGACTGGGGACCCCCGCCCCACAAAGGAAGCCTCGGGGGGGGGGGGCTGTCTTCCTTCCTTCATGACGTCCTCCTGGTCCTTCCAGCTCCAGCAGCAGCAGGTCCCTCCCCCGGAAATTATGTCACTGCCTCTGTGGGGTGGGGGTGGGATTTCTACCACCACCGGGATAGCTCACAGACCAGGTGCACCTCCAGCCTCTCCTCCATCCCAGCAGGGGAAGGGACAGGAGATCGAGGGCTGCGGAATCATTTTGTCCAAACAGGCTGTTTTGATTATGAAACCGCTTCCGGGGTCCTGTCTCAGCATCAGCAGCGTACTTGTGAGTTGAGACGGTACCATCGATGCTCCCTCTGGAGTCTTGTGAGCAAAAATTCTACTTTGTGAGCTGCTGGCACTAACGTTGTGAGCCAGCAATTTGGCTACGGCATACATTAGTCTGCTCTGGAGTCTTCCTTCCTGAGCTAAGGAAAAAATCTGTGAGCTGGAGGCTAAAGAACTGTGAGCTGGCTCACACGAACTCAGCTTGGAGGGAACACTGGGTATAATCTGAGCATCGATTCAGGTGCAGGCGCACCGTATGGGCAAGCGAGAGGCTTCTGACGAAGCAACCAACAGGAGGATCTTAACCTAAGAAATGAAGAATGCCCTCGCAGCTTCTTCAAGAAAAGGGCCACGCGCCTTCTTCACAGGCCGAGGGTCCCAGGTTTCACGGCTGGCACCATGGCTGATAGCAGTTCATAGACTCACCTTCCATGTATTCGTCCCGCCCTTAAAAACAGCATTGAAAGGAGCATCCATCCCCTTGTGTCATTAGCAATTCCAGGTTAATCAGGCACTGGGGCAGAGGAGCACTTTTCTTGCATGGGGGTTACCTCACAGGCCTGAAAACAAGTTCTGCCCAACCACCCCCATAGCAACGGATGGGACCAGGGCAGCAGGAGTGAAGCGGTCAGATCCTACTAGGATCCTAGTGACTCCCACCCCAGTCACCCCCCCCCCTGCAGTTCAGGGTTTTTTTGTGAGGACAGAGCGCTTTCAGTGGCCCCACTGCGGCGTGGTCGGCTGCCTGCAGACCAGCTCCTCCCTGCCTTAACAATCAAAACAGAAGTGACCAAAAGCTGGAGCTTAAAGGATTATGTCTCGAGAAAGACTGGGGGAATTTTCAAAGAAATTCAACCAACTAACCCCCTTTTTTATTGCACTGATGAGATTTAATAACATTTAAGGCCCTTTCCCCAGCAGACACAAAGCTGTTGTAATCAGAGCATATTATCGGGGGGCGGGGGGGGGGGAGGAACCGCGCCGACGGAGGATTCCGCACAGTTAAATCATGTGCCAAGGGCACTGTCTGGATTAGGCTCGAAAGGATGATGCCAGTGTGAGTGAGCCCGCAGAGGGAAACCAAGGGGAGACAAAGGCCTCCCCATGCAGCAGACTCCGATGGCACAGGATGAGCGGGCGCAGAGCAGCCCTTCGGAGAGCCCGGGAACAATCTCCTCTCCGGGCTCGCCCCCCCCCCCCCCCGCTACAGACACACACGGCATGGCGCCTGTGAAAAGTGCTGCCCAAAGGATCGCTGCCGTCTTGCCCGTCGAGCACTTTCAGTTGTACGTCAGCCAGCCCTGACCACACTGGGCAAATGTGCTGGTCCAAAACACCCTGGCTTCAAAGTGGGCTTTGCTACAGGGGTGCCATCCAGGGCAGAAGGCGGGGGCCTGGGTCAAGCAGGCTGAAGGTTTGCTGACATCACCAGAAGGCCACACCCACCGCTCAGGCTCCACTGGACTGTTTTGGATTGCTAGCTATTGGGGGGGGGGAGTGCAGATCTGTCCTCGCAGAGGAGGGAGAGCTTGTACCTGCACACAACTTTTAAAGGTCCCACTCGACTGATGGATGGGGGGGGGGTCTCTGCAACTTACCTGGCTGCTTCTTGCTCTGACGGAGGGTCGCTGGGAGCAGGGGGTGGGGCTTGTTGCATATGCCCGCCCCCCTGGGCTCTTTATTGCTGGAGCTCCGCTCCTGTGCACTGCCAAAGGGAATGACCCCTGCCGCCAGCAACAGGGTGCGTGAGGATGGTATGAAGTGAGGTCAGCCGGGCACTCTGAAGGATGGCCACGTTCAGGCAGGCGATCTTGACATCCAATCTCGGACCAATTTCCCAGTGGTCTGGGGTTCAGTGGATGCACCCTTATTCTGGGCATTAGCTTCCGTGTGCAGGCAGCCTTATTCTTGGTGTAAGTCTTCATGCGCCTGCAGCCTTATTCTTGGTGTAAGCTCTTGGGTCTGGGTAAAAGTCGGATCTAAATGGATCCTCATGAATTTCATATGATTTTTACATTGAAACGAAATAAAACCATCTTCATATTTTAGGTCATGTGTTAGTCTACAAGGGGCACCACAAAAATCACGCATCCACAGATTCGTGGCACCACAAAACTGCAAAAACATGGTTCCAAAGCACGGATCCTTGTGGATCCTCGGGGTTTTTCAACTGGGTCACCCGAAACACACCATCAAATCACATAGCACATCCACGGCCACAAAGTGCACCACAAAAATCACGCATCCACAGATTCGTGGCACCACAAAACTGCAAAAACATGGTTCCAAAGCACGGATCCTTGTGGATCCTCGGGGTTTTTCAACTGGGTCACCCGAAACACACCATCAAATCACATAGCACATCCACGGCCACAAAGTGCACCACAAAAATCACGGATCCAGGAGGCCTCGTGGTGACACCATTCTGCAAAAACGTGATTCTGAAGCAGGGATCCTTATGGGTCCTTGGGGCTTTTGTGCCGGGACACCCCGAACATACCCTTAAATCCCATATCACGTCCATGGCCACAGCCTGCTGCACCACAGGAATCACAGTGCAACGACTCTGTGGCAAGACCATGCTGCAAAAACATAGTTGTGAGGGGCTCTTTAAAAAGTTATGGCTGGGGGGGGGCGCAAAACGTCCCACCCGCCTCCCTGAGCCCCGTGGGGGGGAGGCCTCGGACCCCTACCTCTCTCTCTCTCTCTCTCTCTCTCTCTCTCGCTCGCTCGCGCGGGGGGGGGCCGGGCCTCGGGCCTCCTCCTCCGCCCCCCCTCCCGCCTAGGCCGCCGCCCGGTTGCCTGGCAACAGCGCCTCAGCCGCCCGGGCCCGCAAGATGGCGGCGGGAGGCCCGTCCGCGGCCGCCTTCCTGGCCAAGGAGCAGGAGTACAAGTAAGCGGGGCGGGAAGCGGGGCGACGGCCCCGCCAGGTAGGCCGGGGGGGGAGTTCTTCTCCGGCGCTGACCGAGGCCCCCCCCCTCCCCTCCCCCCCCGCAGGCGCCTGAACGCCCAGCTGGAGGCCCGGACCGCGGAGCTGGTGCGGCAGGCCGAGGAGGGCCTGGTGAGTGAGTGAGTGAGTGAGTGAGCCGGCGGCGGGGGAGGGAGGGAGGCCCCCGGGCGGGAGGGGGAGGCTCCCGGCGGGGCGG